TGCTTGACCACGTTTTCAGTAAACTAATTTCATTTTGCCTCTTGTTTAAATTAATTAAGTGATCCTGTAACTGATAAAGCGGCACCAAATTTGAAACATATCTAAAAGAATAAATTGATTTTAATTATTATTACTGGACTGTTGGCATTTAAGTATGGTACGTACAATTACAATCAATATTATGAGTTGTAATTGTATGTAAAATTGTTGGGAACAAACACACAGTTGAGTACAAGTCATGCGTGTATCATTAGATTAATTTAATGATACATGCATGACTTGTACTCATGATACACTTTTTGTCCCCAACAATTTTACTATATAACTGGTTAAACTAGATGAATTATCTTTTAATAATATAATCACTGAGCTAAAAACAAACTTAACACAAAAGACGCACATTAAAGAAGTAAGGTTGAAAGATGAATGAGGTAATGTATGGTCATGCACCAGACCCTTGCTTTGTAGAGGGAGGGACTGGCTATGAGACTAATAAGGAATGAATCTAATGAGGTGGAAATTTGAACTGATTACAAGTCCTTATATGTAAAGATAAATTTTAGGCTGTGTCTACAGCTCCGGTAACCGGACGTAGTTTGCAATGCTAGAGCTCCGGCAGTCCGCTTTTTCTCCGTAAAAGAGCTTGTGCGCATGCGCAATAGTGCAAAATGGAACTTAGTCTTTTTATCAAGAAACACTAAACCCTAACCCCAAAACCCTACGATCCCGGAGGCTAAGATGTACGAGAGGGTGCTCTAAAAACTAAACACTAAACCCCAATCCCAACCCTACGACCCCGGAGGCTAAGATGTACGAGAGGGTGCTATTTCTTGACCCAAAAAAAGCCAAAAAGAAAAAAATTGCAAAAAAGATATTTTAAAAAAAGAAAAAAAAAAATCAAAACTGCAGCATAGTTTTACTCGGTAGTCCTGACCTGATTTGAACCCCTGAGCATATCCGTGCAATCCACACCAGCCTCTCCACTGCACCACCACGACCCTGCTGCATCATCAACGCTGGTTGTTGTATTTATACTCGGTTTCTATAATATAAATCAGTGTATTATTAATACTGCACTGGGGCGTAGCCCCAGTATATATATAGGGGCGAAGCCCCTATTACCGGAGCTCTAGCACTGCATACTGTGTCCGGTTACCGGAGCTCTAGACACTTCCTAAATTTTATTGTTGATAGTATACTCCCACAATCAAC